AAAACTTGATTTTCTTGCAAACCACTCAATGTTTTTCGATCAAACCAATTTTCGTTGAAAGATAACTCCTTAAGGAAGGTTTTGACATAAAATATAGGTTCAGAATATTTTTGTACATTTTTCTGGAATGTTTTAAAGTTGACTGAAAAAAATAGGTTTTAAGGTGGAATGCCCAAAACAAGGAAATTTATAAAAAGGGGGTTCCACCATGGGAAAGTTTCATTTCTTTTGTGAACAAAATATGCTAACTATCACATGTTTAACTCAGAAATTTTTTTTGAAAGAGTACCCTTGAAAAGTTGAGAGATGTGTACAAAAGAAAATGGCTTTGTGCCAAAATGGGTAAAATATATGAGAGATGGAAACAATACTCAAATCTTAGTATTTTTAACATAAGAACATGATAATAACAGATCTAAAACATCACTTAAAATCTTTAAAAGAACATGCATTAGAAAAGAAAATGAAGAGAAGGTTGTGTTGGTGGCTTACCTTCTATCTTTGCACAAGAAACTCTCTTCTTCTTCCCTCTCCTCCTCTAGACTTCTCTTCCTTGCTCTCCTCCCTCTCTCTAACCAAAATGTGTGTGTGACTGAGTGTGTTGTGTGTATGTTTGCAAGCTAGGGAGGGTGTGGTATATATAGCCAAATTTGGGGTAAAAGGACATAAAAGCCCTTTAGTTGGAATTGGATGGAAAGTTAGGATTTTGCTTGAGTTCTAAAGGAATGGAAGGGACTTAGGAGGTGTGTTCCATTGGTTAAGGCCACATCTAGTTGTAATAAAACTAATTCTTGGATTTTGCATCCTAGGTAGGTCACTAGGTTGTGTTTCTCTAGAATCTCATAATCATGGTCTTAGAAAATTGGCTTCTCTCTCCCTTCCCTAGGAGGACCGGCCTTGGAGGAGTGTGATGGGGCAAATTTTTTATTAATTTTGGTCCTAGGCACATCCCTCAAGGTGTTTATACACACACACACACACACATATATATATATATATTGCAAGATTGATGGTATACCAAGGTACAAGATGCAAGTACTATTTTGGGACAAGTTTAAAAAAGAAATGAGGGCTTGAAGTTAAATACATGTTACCTAGGTAGAATTAAATTAGGTTAGGAAATTTCTGTTTTGATAAAATTAAAATAAAAAAAAATAGTAATTGCTAATCGAGAAGATTCGAATTAATTCAAGTAAACGAGGGCTTTAAGAAAATAATTCATCATTAGGGTCTTAAAAATAAATACATATTTCAGGGGCTTTACAGTACCTACTCCTCGCGTATTTTCAGACTTTCACCATAGACCTCAAGCCAACTTAATTCTTAATTCTACACCTCCTAACCAGATGCACTAAGTTATTTACCTCATAACACAACACATTTCAAATATTTCCAACGAATATTTTCCAAAGCCAATTTCTCAAATCAAATGCAAAAATTAGATCATGAGATTATGCCATGATCAATACTATACATGAATTTGTAAATATTCCAATTTACCTAGTTTACATGAGAGTTTTACAACAATCAAGACAACCATCCACCAATTGCCAGAATAATTCTCTGTCCGAAATGTATATTTCAAAAGACAATAATTCCCATCAATATCAACATAGACAATAATTCCCATCAATATCAACATAATAAATAATTCTCATCCTCTCTCAAAATGTCAATATCTTCAATTTAATCAATGTTTAAAATAAACTCAAAATTTTCAATATTCTCAATAAGATTTTCCTCGGTCTCATCCTTTTGATTTCATACTTTCAATTTCATATTATTCATAAAACATAAGTTTTAACACGTGTCATTTCTCATAAATTTAACCGTAAAATCTCAAATTCAACATCTCAAGTTTTTAGGATTTTATCACAATTTAGAAATTTCTCATTTTATAGATACATTTTTTAATTCCATGATTCATAAAATATCCATAGTTAACTAATAGGAAACGTTTTAAAAAAGAATTTGAAAACTTTTCATTTTTTTTATACAATACATACATCGTTATTAAAATCATAATCCCTTCAAGTGTTATATTATTAAAATAACGCCTAAAAATGCTAAAAGACATACTCAATGTTTAAAAAATTTCTATCTCAAGCCTTAGAAGAGGAAAAACAATATTTTTTGGATGTCGTTGGATTTTGATCTCTACTGGTCAAAATATAATTCTCACCATGCTCTACATTTTGACCTTTGATTTATCTTCGATGGTGAAAGATCACTACAGGAAAATCGAGATTTAGCGGCGTTTTTAAAACGCCGCACAAAGTGTTAAAAACGCCGCAAAAAAATAAGACGACGTTTTAAAAATTCGTCGCTAATACGGCCGCCGTCATATCTTTGTGGCGTTTTGAAAATGCCACTATAGACTTTAGACGACGTTTTTTAACAGCATCACCAATTCTTTACAACCGTTTACTATTTCCGTCAGAGGAGTTAACATGACGAAATTATGACGTCATTTTGCGACATTTTTTAAAAACGCCACCTTTACTTTTTTTTCCAAAAAAAAATCAAATGTATGATATTTCAACTTCTGTTCAAAGCAAACCTTTTTCCTCAAAAAATAAAATAATAATAAATAACAACCAACCTATAATCCATCACCATTTTCAAAACATATACCATAATATGAGTCAGTATTCCAATTTTCCATAACCAAAAACAAAAACCTCAAATCACATTATGTTAATACAAAAAAATAAAAATAAAAATTCCTAATACTCTCATTTTAATAAAAATAATAATAATAATATGGAGTGTGCTTTGCTATTTAGCTTCAAAGGTGCTCTCTCCTCGAAAAACTTTGCCTCCAACTCATCATGTTGGCTCTGCAATGATACAACAAAGCATTACACTTCAATACACCCAATAAATATATAATTGAAAAAAAAATTATTTATATCATAAATCAACCTCAGAGGTCACAACCTCACTCTTGAACCATACACGTCGATAAGTTTTTCATATATTTATATCAGAAATGAACATAATTTACCCTAAAAGTGATAGTATGCAAACAAGCAGGTAAAAAGAACCAATGCTTCATTTTCCCCTCATTATAACACCCAGAATCGTAAAATTCACATTCCATTAATTGTCTGATCCCTATTTACCCTACAAACATTGCATGTGATCCAAAATCTAATTCAGGAAGTGTGATACCCAATAATACCTGTGGAAAAAGTCTATTATAACACAAAAAATGAAATACAATTCGTGTTTATTGTGAAATGGTGTCAAATGAAACCTGTCAAGCGCACAAGACTAACCATCCTGTTTTTATGTGGCAAATGACTCAATCAAGTGGCTTATAGAGCATAAATATAATTCAACATAATCAGCTTATCATATAAATATGAGACAAATTGCAACATTCATTTAACCTCAAGTAACTAAAATTGACTAAAGAAATTCAAATTTGTGAGGTAAAGACAAAATTTCCTAAGAACCAAGTTTCATCTTGAATTTGATTTAAAGGGGGAAAATATCTAAATCACAAACCTGTGCCATAAAGCAAGGAAGCATAATCCTCAATATTTGTTCTAGTACTTGAGTGTCGGTTGATTCAATGGCTTGCACGGGAATTGGTTGAAATGCAAAAGGAATCTCAATGCTGACCTGGAATTCACATGACAACAAAAGAAATTTTGCAAAAAATAAAAACAACTTCCAAAATGAAATGTCGCAGCTAGAAGAGAAGCCAATTAGCAATTATCTCAATAGCTATATCTGAAGTGAGTACATCCACCGAGGAGTCGCTCTGTTTCCTATTGCATGATACTCTATTCACCATAGAAGCTGCATGCCCACACCAAATCAGTGTCAAAGCACTCCTGAAAAAAAGCATTTCATAATTCAACTCAGAACCAAAAAATTTAAGCTAAAAATAAAGTGCAACATTCCACTAAAATATGATTCTCGATGTCAAACAAACTTCCCCTGAACAGAGTACATAATTTTGGGTAGTCTGGATTATTTGGAAATGTTATAAGTAAAAAAGTTACATGGCATTAATAAAACAGTACTATTTTATGATTCTGGATGTCAAATAAAATTCCCTTGAACATACTTTTTGCACCTATTCATTTCATCACTAGGAAGCAGTTACGTTGGCAAGCAACCCTTTAAATGTTGCACAGCATTCTTAAAATTTTGAGGAAATTATGAATCAGTTGGAAGACCAAAAAAAAAATTACAAAGTGTTGGAAAAGTTTATAATTTCAATTATTAAAGTTAGTAAACTACATCATTGGTTTGAAATTTATTTTGGAAATATGGGAATCATGGTGTTGAATCGGAAATTGAGTGAATTGCAAGATCCAATTTACGATTCATTGCGATTCAATATGATTCACACGATTATCGGTTTTAAACTTTGCATAAATCTTATTCAATAATTTATGATAAATAATAACTACACAAAACGAGAAAACTGGTGTGACAAAACTCAAAATATGACCAGCATTGGTTGCAGGAGTACATGTTATCCTTGCTGCAATAAATTCATCAAATTGTAAACTAGCTTGTAAGAAGTGAGGTCATGCATTGTCCTAATATTTAAAGCATAATTTACTATTTCATATCAATAAGAACCTTTTTGCCCCATTTTTGAAGAGGATATTTCAAACAAAACTATGTAATCAACATACTTGAACATTAAAAAAAAAAAATGATTCTAGCAATTATGGTGTTGTTCCCAACAGATCAGACTGAAGCAGATTAAACCCCACTACAAACAAAAATCCTATCAAAGTAGATCAAACATTACTGTCTAATCCAGTCATTGCTTATACAATCTAATTGTACCATTTTGCAGCAAACAAAGAGAATTTGAATGAACTTCTTACCATCAATCTTCTCATTCTGTGCAACCACAATTGGTGAACCTTCAAGCTGCCATAAACAAAATGCAAGGGAAAAAAACACAAAAACAAAAAAACAAAGTAATCATTAGGAGAAAAGGACACATAAAAGGACACGTAACCATTTGGTTCCTCTTCAACTCTAACCAACAAAACAGGGCACACTTCAAAAGCAAAGAACTTGAAATTGTATACGTAACACCTGAAGGTGCTATTGTCAACTCTCTCAATACTCCCTGCATCCAACACAGAGTACTGACTCGCAGGCAAACTCATATACTCCACTGCAAAAAAAAAAAAACCGTTAAGATATTTTAATAAAAATAATATTATATTTCATATATTCAATTTGTCCCACATCTTAAAATACTTGGCACTAGTACTTGAGTGAGGAAAAAATACTAAAAAGCATAAAATAGAAGAAGTGTTACTTCAACTTACTCTCCACTCGTTAAATCTTATTCACTTAAACATAAAGAAATATTGCATGCATTTATAAATCTGACGATCACTATATATTTCTTAGATTATACCCTGAAAGCACTTTAAATTGTAACTTTGATTAGTTGCAGTTACGTTAGCACAAAAATGTGCTCCATAGGATAAGTTTCCATTATAAAAATATGATTTTCCTCAAGACATACCGCCAATTTTGTCTTTGATAATTGTCTAGCCAAAGCATGTATGCAATAAGCTACATCCACTCGAGGCCTCATAGCTGAAATAGCAGCAAAAATAGCTGCAAGGGAAAACAAAAATTGTCCATCACAACCCATTTTAAGGCATATTAAAAATTGATAAGCACAGAACGGAACAAATATGAACAAAGGAGCAAGCCCATAAAAAAAAAAACAAAAAAAAAAACCATCTCCATCTCGATAGAAATTATCAACCTCTTATGTGTTTTTCTTTCGCTGGGCGCTCAACATGATTTGTACCCATGCTTCATAGTCAACTTGGTTGGTACAAGTATGGCATGTTTATCGAAATGCCATGCTTCATAGTCTAAAGTATTGTAGTTTTCTTTTTATTTTTCTAGATGGATAAAGTATGTAGCACTACTTGGTTGTCTTTTAGGCGATATCTTGTAATCAATTTCATATACGGAAAAACAGAAGAAAAAAAATTAGCAGCTATTGTGAGTCTTAGAATTATGACAATGAAGTGGCTATTACAAAATGGGTCATGAAATAGTATGGAGTTGTTGATATTATTATTATTTTATTTGGAAATTTTGTTGTTTCGATTTTTAATTAAATGGAAAGGAGGAAAAAAAAAACCTCAACTGAAATGAAATTTTTCTTAAGATTTTTGTTGTTGGATATCTTAAATTTTTGTGAGATATTAGTATTTGGAATGTCGGATTGTATTGGATGCTTTATGCTTTTGATGGATATTTATTATTTGAAATGTTAAATGCATCATACTTTTGGGAATTATTGAGTTTTTGTCTATGTTATTTATTTATTTTTTACAATTTCCTTAGTGTCCAGCTCGCTTCGATGAAGCCATCACTTTGCACTTCCTTAGGAGGTCTTCTTGTCTCAGTTCGCTTTTTCACCTTAAATAACAGTAAGGAAGAAATCTGTTACTATGTTCCCACAAATAATGACCATTGAATAAGGAATTAGTCATCTACAAGCTTAATTATGAATAATGTTTTATCAACTTCTCTAATTTAACCCCAAAAAAAAAGTAATTTTATTATAAAATTAAGAACAATACCTGTCTAGCATTAGACAATCCAATTGACAAGAGCTCATCCATAAGTGTTTCCCAAATAAGCTGACCCCTGAAGAATAGTTCTGTTCCATTCTATAGAGAAAAGATGAAGAGATGACATAATTAGTCAAATCTCTCTCTCTCTCTCTCTCTCTCTCTCTCTCTCACACACACACACACACACACATTCACACACACTACATGTAAAAAATAGAATTTGCATAATTCCTGACCAAGCTGAAAAACATCCACTGGACTTGCCTTAAACTCACTTTCAGGGTGCCCAGCAAAAGATGCACCATCACAATAGCGTATCTTGACTTTGTTCCAGTTAAAGAAATCTGAAGATACCCAAAATGATCCAATAAAAGTCCTTTGTTGATTAAATAAGAATAAGAGTGTAGATGCCTATCCAAATCCTAAAGCAAACATTGATCATATCTAACTAACATGAAAAACAAGAATTCAAAGGCTTAAAAAAGAAATACTGACAATTAAATACATAACTCTGAGAGGGGTGAACAACACCTTGTATCTATATGGTTATGGGGCCTAAGGATTAAAGGATATATGAAGTAGAAAGCCAGAAATTCTTCTATTATGTGGGCCCCAGCAAATGCTATCATTTTGTGAGTTCTTAATTCAACAGTGGCAAAATGAAAGTCCAACCAGAATATGACATGTTCCAACAATAAACAAGATACTTGCCTTCATAAGAACCAGCTACAATGGTTAGGTTATTGCAGTTCAGGAAGAAACTATTGTTGGCCAATATTTGTCCATATGAAAGCAAAATTGATGATAAATTGCTGCAAACATCAGTAGGGGTATTCTTTGTTTTTTACTCTTCGCAAAATACTAAAATGAGGCAGCAAAATACCAAGACTCATGCTAGTTTTTTATTCCACCTTCTTACAAATCTAGTGTGCTTAAGAAGGATAAGTTTTCAAATTTTCAGCTGCGCGGTATTCATAACATTTTCAGTGGTACATAAAATGAATAGGTCTCGCATGCATATGTACATAGATACAAATATGAATATGTAGATATATCCTCACAAGCATAGATGCTGCATATATAGATGTATGATTGCCAGCATTCATACATAGATGAGAAAAGCACACTTAATCATGATATACTGTTGTCACACCAGAACAATTGAAAACTATATGTGAATAAGTTCAGCACTTGTAAACATCAATGTGTAAGGATTCAAAATTTTCACAATTTTGTTTGAGAGAGAGAGAGAGAGGACTACAGGAATATGAAAATTTATTAACAAGGAAAAGAACACAAGGCATGCCAATTACAAAATTTTCAATAACAAGTCATGGGAATCTACTTAGCATGATTACCAAGATTTTGTGACAATTCTTGGGTCAAAATTCCAGAAAATCGAACTTGACCATCCATATATCTTGAAGAACCTAATTCAGTTCTCTTACGAGAAGAACACGATTTTCTGTGTACCTCCTCCCAACATTCTCTCTCTCAATTATATAATTCTACAAAATTGTCAACTTCATAAATACTACTAGCATTATGAGATGGATCTAAATTCCCCTCAAACAAAAACAAGCATCCTTCATAATTACTGCAAAGAAGTATTACACATCCCAATTTGATTTAAACTATTAACAAATCTGATATTTAAGCTTGCAATTGGAGTCAATTTTATGTAAATATTAGAGACCAAATGAAAATTATGAAAATAGATTCTTAGCTAATTTTGAATCTAAATACATCAACATGAAAAAAAATTACAGGAAATTCTCAACTATAACCAAAATTTGACACTTAAATCCCGATCAACCATCAATGTCTTCGTGTGCCTAATTGAACTTGGGTTTGAGTATACATCAATACAGTAAAGTCATAAATATTAGTAAATCATTGATACCAGAGATGTTCTTCAGATGATAATAGTTGGAAGTTATAAAAGCAAAAAGATCAAAGTGAATGTGATTTTATTGAAAAGAGAGCAGACCAAAAATAGCAAGTGAAAAGATTAAAAAAAAAATTCCACTGCAGAGAGGCCAGATCGTAGATCTGATTGAGCAATAGAGAGAGAGAGAAAGAGAGAGAGAGAGAAGACCTGAGGGATGGTAGCGACGGGAGGGCCAGACCTGAGGAGGAGCTTCAACAGGTAGAGCGCATCCAACGCCATCGAGCTCGAGCTTTCTTGGAACAGCCTATCATTTCATCAGCTGGTTTCCTCTTGCTCCGACTTGATCGGTCTCAGTCCCTGTCTCAATCCCGATGATCTTGATCCTTCTTCACTCCTCGGTCTCGTAACCCCACAGATTTGTGCAACTTAACCGAACCATCTTCCTCTGCAAAATCATTAGAATCAGAATCAAGGAAAACAAAAAAATCATCAAGAAATTTCAATCAAATTAATACAAGAATCGATGGATTTAGAATTAGATCTGAACAAGTGATCGGAATCAACCCTGGTGAACCTCTCAAGGGGCATGAGGAGACAGAGAAAACCCTAGATGTAGGACGGAGAGAGAAAACGATACAGAGAAATGGAAGAGAAAACGATATGACGGAAAGAGAAATGGGGACAAAGGAGACGGATCACCGTTATAAGGTGCAACATGCGTGTCTTAATTTCACTTTCGGTCTTTCACAGCGTTTTTCAGAAAAACGTTGCCTAAAAAACGTGGTAATAGGCAAATTTTGTTGTAGTGGATTAAAGGATTTTTGTTTATTTTAGGTTTTGTTTGATGATTATATGTTTTAGTTAAAAGGGTAAATTATGTAAATAGTCTATGTACTTTACATAATGTGTCAATTTAGTCCATGTAGTTTCAATTTGCTCGATTTTGCTCCTTAATTTAACAGATTGTGTCATTTTAGTCCAATAAATAACGGTTGTTAAATTAATTTAATGGAATGTCAAATAATGTGTCAATTTGGTCCCTGTACTTTACACAGTGTGTCAATTTGGTCTCTGTAGTTTCAATTTTCTCGATTTTGACAGGGACGAAATTGACACATTATGAAAAATACATTGACTAAATTGACACATTATTCTACTTTTCGTTAAATTAATTTAACAACCGTTATTTATTGGACTAAAATTTTTTGATCAGCAAAGAAAAATTTCATTTAACAGCATGAAATTAAAGGTACAGGAAGATAACATGCATCGAGAGAGATTCGGAAGTATAAAAATACCCCAACTACTGCTACTCGCATCCATACAATCAACCCCTAAGCCTCTCGATTTTTTTTAAAAAAAAATTAAGAACTTAACTAAAAAATTAAAATACATGAATCTCCACATAATCAACCCACCAAAACACCCAAACCAAACTATATTAACTAAACCAACTCCCAAAGCAGCCCGAACTAAAAACCCATCTAATCAACAACCCACTCCTCTGCCTAGGCCCACGTCTCTGCTGCTACACCTCCCAAAGCCCTCACGCCTCTACTGCATCAACACCCTACGCCTCTACTGCATCAACACGCCAACTCCCAACTCCCACTAAAATGACACAATCTGTTAAATTAAGAGTTAAAATTGAGTAAATTGAAACTACAGGGACTAAATTGACACATCGTTTAAAGTATATGAACTATTTACATAACTTTTCTTAATTAAAAAGTTAAAAAATCACTATAAATTATTATATTATTTTTTTATATATCATTTTATAAAATAATAAAAAAATTATTAAAATAATTTATTTTCAAAGACTTGGGAGAGAGTGTACCGAGACGCAACTCTCTCGAAAGAAAGCAAAAAAGAAAAAGGAAGAGGAATCAACAAATGAAAAAGAGATAAGGGCTTGAGGAGAAGCCGTCCCCACGTGGGCTTGCCTCCTCTAATATTAAATTTTATTTATCCCCACATTCGCGACCCCCATTTGCCGTCGCATGGGCCGTCGCAAAAAGTCTTTTGCGACTATTTTTTATTATTTGCGACGGTTTATAGCGGTCGCAAAAAGTAGTTTTTTTAGTAGTGATATATATCTATACACACACTAGTAAGTGATATATGTGATGCATGAAAATTTATTTCTAAAATAAAAAATTAATTTTTAGCTTTAATATTTTATATGTAGAAAATTTTAATAATTAAAAATTAAATACAAAGAGGTTTATCAGTTGATAAATTTTTTTGTCACTGTGTGTAACGTTATGTAAAAGACTCAAAAAAACAATTTTTTCAAAGCTAAAAAAAAAAGGTACTCTCAACCTAAAATCAAATCCTCATTTGTATTAATCAAATTTATCAAAAATCATGAATTTCACTGGTATCAAAATATTTTTTTTCTAAAAAAAAAAGAAAAAAAAAAAAGAAAAAGGAAGAAGTGTATTATTATGTCTAAAGTGGTGTATTGGGTCTTTAATTATACAAATTATGAACTATTATAATATACAAATTATGACTTGGTTATAACTTATAATTCATGATGTAATTCATGACTTGGTTATAACCTAGGGAGATGTCTACCCAAAGAAATGTTGTTGGAAACCAAGGTAGGATGGTCAAACCTCATTTGGTAGCTCCAAACAATTGGGTGTTGCTTAAGCACCCAAAAACAAAAGAGCCGAATATGGTCCCAGTGATTTCTAGATCCCAAAGAAGGAAGATCCAACGAAGGTACACTCAATACCAGAAGGATTTGAAAGAAGGAGGAGAAAGCTCCTCATTGGTTCAGCTAAAGAGTCAGGCAGAAGGAGAAGAAGATTCAAAGTCAGACCATAATATAAAATCGACTCTTCAGGACAAAAGGAGTTGCAGCAGGGAGTAGTTGGCTAAAGTTCATTCCAAACTAAAAGCCAAAGAAAGATCCAGCTTGACAGGATTGGAAAAAGCTTTGATGGAAAGTGATAGTGAGATAGAAGATGAAATCGTCCTAGGCCAAAGGAAGGGGATCGTTGAGGAAGAAACATTTGAAGCTTTCATGGCTGAATAGATATTTTTGGTCGGAAAAACAATAGAAGCAGACCATTCAAGTTGCTAATACAGAAGTGCCAGAATGCAGCATGGAGGACGCTTCTGAAGTAATTGAACAAGTTGACTAAGAGGGAAAGCAGGTACAGCAAGTCATCCAATTTGGCTCGTTTCCTCCGATGTCAGTGAATATGGTGCTTATATTACCATAGAAGTTTCAAGCTGAAGATGAAAACCAAGGTCAGGAGATTGACCTAATTCCAGTCTCCAGTGAAGACTCGCAAGTAAGTACGGTGCAAGACGAATCCGAAGTAACCACACCAATGGAAACTGAAGACGAGAGTGAGGAAGAGGTAAGTATTAACCTTTCATACCTTTTTGAGTATCCCATGACGTCCATGACACAGCATGTCAAACTCTTGTATATCAAGGCCTTCTTCGATGGAATACAGATGAATCAGGTGCTGGTGGATAATGGGGCAGCAGTAAACCTGCTTCCAAAATCTTCGTTGAAGAAACTAGAAAAGAAGAACCCTAGACTAATCCCAACCAGTACAGCCATTGCTAGTTTCACTGGAGACAAACAGATGGCCCAAGGTATTTTGCCCATCAACCTGAGTGTGGGAACCAAGGACTGTATGACAACATTCTTTGTTATCGATAGTAATGCTAAGTACAATGCTTTACTTGGAAGAGAGTGGATTCACACCAACAAATGTGTGCCTTCCTTTTTACATCAGAAAATCTTGATGGCCTTGTGCAATGGAGAGACGGAGGAGATCAATGCAGATCCTCAACTCTTCATAGCTTGTGCAGATTTCGCAGAGGCTAAATTATATACTGAAGAAGTGGCGCCACTCAGTATACTGAGAAAACTTGATAGATCAGTCGATGTGACGGCTGATGAAGAATCTGCACATCTAAAGCACTTGGTCCAAGAGAGTGCTGATGAATAGTTTGTCGTTAAGGATGACAATGATGCCTTGTTGTAGGCAAAGAGATGAAACCCAAGAAGCCAAGTCTTTGGCTCTAATTAAGTTCTCAATATTGGATGTAAAATCAATAGTCCAGAAAATGCAAGAGCAAGAGAAAAAAACCATGATGATTAGTTGTAAGAAGGAATAGCAATAGGTCAGATTTTTTGCCTTAGATAAATATTGTGCTTTGGACATTGAAACAAAAGTCCAAGAGATACAGGAGGAAGAAGCCTTGTGGACAGACTTTGTCTATGAGGAGGAGGGTAAAGATGTTGAATCAAAGGAGCTGGGAGCAGAACAAAGCAAGGAGGTTGCTTCGAAGTCAGAAGAAATCAAAGAAGGAGCATCAACAAGGTCTCAGATACAAGACCCCTTGGAAGAAGTAAATTTAGGAGAAGGGTCTATACAACAGTCCACCTATATAAGTGTTTGGTTGAATGCTTTTGACAGGGACCAGTTATTGGTTGTTTTAGAGAAATATAAAGATTGTTTTGCATGGTCTTATAATGAACTACCAGGATTGGACAGGCCATTAGTAGAACATAGGCTCCCTATGAGGCCTAATTTCAAGCCATACAAGCAAAAACCAAGAAGAATGAGTCCAGAAGTGATTCAGAAAGTTAAGGAGGAAATTCTTAGACTCCTCAAGGCAGGCTTTATTAGGACAGCAATACGCTTGAATGGCTATCTAATATTGTGCTGTAGTTAAGAAGAATGGTAAAATGAGGATATGCATTGATTTCAGAAACTTGAATCTAGCAACTCCAAAGATGAGTATCCTATGCCTATAGATACACCATTGAAGCTCAACTCAGCAGGGCATCAAATTTTATCAATGATGGATGGGCACTCTGGTTATAACCAAATCTGCATTGCAGGGAAAGATGTCCATAAGACAGCATTCAGGTGTCTTGGAAATATTGGCACCTTCAAATGAGTTAAAATGCCATTTGGCCTGAAGAATGCTGGGGGCTACATATCAGAGGGCCATGAACACTATCTTTCATGACCTTATTGGAAGGTATTTAGAGCGTTATATTGATGACATTGTAGTGAAATCCTAATCCATGGAGGAACATTTGTTTCACTTAGAAGTAGCTTTTGAAAGAATGAGAAAGTTTAAGTTGAAACTCAATCCTCTTAAGTGTGCTTTTGGCGTATCATCTGGAAATTTCTTGGGCTATGTAGTATACAAGAAAGGGATACAGATTGACCAGAATAAAGCCAAAGCCATCATTGAAGCCAGACCTCTATCAAGTAAGAAAGAATTACAAAAATTCCTTGGACATGTTAATTTTCTTTGAAGATTAATTTCTAATACTGCAGGGAAAACTAAAGTATTTTCTTCCTTGTTAAGGCTAAAAGATGAAGAGGAATTTGTGTGGACAGCAGAGCATCGAACTGCTTTCGAAGGAATTAAAACCTACTTAGCCAACCCTCCAGTGTTGATGTCACCAAAGGGTGATAAGCCCTTAAAGTTGTACATAGCTCCAGCAGAGGATTCATTGGGAGCTTTCTTAGCCCAAGACAGTGAGGAAGGCAAGAAGCAAGCTGTTTATTACCTTAGTAGGTTTTTAAATTCTTGTGAATGTAAATATTCAACTGTAGAAAAGTTATGCTTTGCATTGTATTTTGCTACAATGAAATTAAGATACTATCTTTTGCCTACAACTGTCTTGGTAATTGTAACCACAGATT